CCTATCAACATTTCTACAGCCTGCCTGCGATCTGGCTGTCATTGCAACATGATAGTTTCCCAGAATAGGGGGGCCCAAAATAAACTCCCAAATACTATCGCCCTTATCATAACGAAAAAGGTACCCCTAATTTTCGGAAATTTCCGAAATTACACAAACCCTAAACCCTATAGTTATAGTCCCCCTTAAGTAGATAGAATATAGCTTTGGGTATATTAGAAGAAGATCCCCATATACCCCATATTCTATCTACTTAAAAGGGGACTATACTAATACCCCTCCTGGATCCCAGCTGAAGATGCAGATCCACCTGCATGTCGCGTCGTCAAGCGTCGGCAAGGTGCCGTGGGTCGTTTTTATGACCTGTCCGGAGCAGCCAGGAACAAATCGGCTTCTCTACGTTGAAGGGCCCGGCGGCTATCCTTTAGGAGGACCCCCCCACCCTGTAATAGTGGTATAGTAGGAATATAAGAGGACCCGAACATAATACTAATTATCCCTCATTTCTATAGTGACTATCACCGGGAGGGGGTCCACCTAAGCTATCCTACTGCCATCTTGAAGATGTATCCCAACCTAATCCAAGGCTCTGCTTAGACGGTCTTTGGATCTGTTCCCTCAGATCGAAAGACTTACTGGGTGGCTAGTAGGGAATTTCCGGAGTCTAATCCCTATATAATCCTCATACAAGATTTTCCCTTATTCCCTACTTGCCCTAAACCCTAAACCTAAGCTTATTGGCATCCCAGCTCATACAATATGAGGATTATACTCGGATTGTATTCCCTGATTCCCCATTAACCACCACTAAGTAAAACACGCCCAAGAGGCGATTATTCTACATACCTTTCAAAAAACCCTAAACCCTAAACCTAAACTAATTTTCGGGCTTGGGTAAAGCTTTCCTTTCAGGACCTGGCCTCCTCTGCTGGCAGTACCACTGCCACTGCTGCCCTTAGCCAAAAGGGTCCATGTAGGTATATGGTATTTCTTAGGGTACTAAGCCCTAAACCCTTTAAGGCCCAAGTATATAATAACCCCTATGATAGTCCCCTATATGATCCCCTATGTAACCCCCTTTAAGGAGCTTAGACTCAAACCCTAAACCCTAAACCCTAATACCTACTTTAAGGCCCAACTATATACCATGTACCTACATGAACTCTTGGGTTGGGGAGGTAGAGAGTCAACGGTTTAGGGTTTAGGGTTTAGGGTCTACGCGCTCAATGGAGATGAAAGTTATTGTCTCTTTTACGGACGAAATAAACCTGAAAGTAATGGATATCTCATGATGGAATACCAATTACACCAAGGATATCACGGACCACATAAGGTGCCCTACATAATATGATCCCACTTAGGGATAGATCAGGAGAGTGCATGGTCCAAGGTCCAAAGGCTAGAAACCCAAGCTTCCAGTGGCCTTTGGCATGCGATTTAAAGCCTTCTGCAATTGTGGGATCCTGTGGCTTGGTTTCAAGCTCATCAGACTCAGATTCATTTTGCCGATGCTTGTTTTACTTACGGCTTTCAGCTCCTGATCCATACATAAGATCCTGCCCACGTAATCCCTTTTTCCCCCTCTAAGGAGTTTAGGCTAAAGCTCAGATGAAGAACGAATCCTCAAGTCCATCTGGAGAAGTTTGTAGATATACGACCAAGAATTTCTCATCAGGACTACCTTCATGATAGTCTTGCCCTAGCAGTACCCAAGAATGATAATTGTAATCCTAGACCCCCCATCTACCCTCTATACCCTAACTACCCACTATTAGGGACCATACCCCTACGTAAGGGCACAGGGAGGGTCTTGGATCACAACTGCAAGTCAGAAGTCTTTCCTGGTCATAATTCTCCCTGAAGACGAGCCCAGAACGGTGTCCATGAGTGCCCAGTGAATGTCATCCACTCACATATGCTTAGGCGCCGAGATCCTTGGAAACCCTAGCGCGATACACTCTTAAACCATAAACCCTAAACCCTAACCATTCCTAACCATCCACCTTTCCCCGCAAACGGAACTTTCTTGGCAACAGCCGGGAATGAAGGAAAGCAACAGTTCGGGAATGAAGGAAGACATTGAATGGCTGAGTGTTAATCCCATCCCCCAAATATTACAACCCCCCGCCCCCATCCCTGCTAATATTAAATACTCCCAATATATCACCCAACATATCATAATCTGCCAAACGTTGCCACATAATTGGAGTATTCAATGTTTTTTCTTGGAGGGGGGGGGGGTGAGGGGGTGGGGTGTTTAATAGTAGGGGAAGAGGATTAATTGTTAAGAAATGAGCTTGTTGACCCCAAGAATCCCAAAGACCCTGAACCCTCAGCATTTAGAACATGGGCTCTGACCTTTACAGCCATACGCGCCCGCGCGTGTTGAAGTCTCTTTCTGTTGATGTTGCGGAGACATTCATGCATAATCCCAACGAAAAGGTGCCAATCCTCAAGCTTTCACAAATCTTGACAGATCCCATAAACCGTACGCCCTAGACTCAAACACTGAACTCTCAACAAACAAACCCAAAGCCTCAACCAAAAGCCCTGAACCCTAATCCTCTGACCTCAATGTAACCCCGGTATAATCCCAGCTTCCATTTCGTTTTCCATTTTCTTTTCCATTTGATTCTCCATTATTGGGTACCATAGACCTCATAGTGGTTTCCATTTTCTTTTCCATTAATCCCATATAAACCCCAATATACTATAGTAGTTTCCATTTTATTTTCCATTATCCCAACATAATATACGAATCTACCCCTAAACCCTAAACCCTAAAACCCTAAACCCTAAACCCTAAACCTTAAACCCTAAAACCCTAAAACCCTACACATCTATGTTTTTGTGGCCCGAGGGCCGCACATGGCAGTCAGAGCCTTGTCCTGCAGCTCTTCACAGTCGCTCGTGGATCGGGCGCCTCACAGAACTTAAGGGCTGAATTAGGGCTTTGTTGGGGGGGAGCAGTTGGGAGGTTTCTAATTTCAGGTCTTGGGGTTTGGGGGCTCAGGATTTAGGACATAAGGTTCACAGCTCAGTGCTTGGATTTCGGTGCTTAAGGACCGTAGGGAGTTTCAACAGTCAGAAGGGGCCGTCAGGGCTTGGATATACCCCCTGTCCAGTCCTTTGAGAATACTAACTGGGTTGCTGTTAAGGGACGTAGTTTAAGTTACCATATTAAGCTGTACATATATATAGATATATATCTACCCATTATGGTAACTTAGTGTAAGTTCCTTAACAGCTAGCCAGTTTAAGGTTTGGGTCGAAGGTATTGGGTTTCACTTCGCAAGATGGTGGATGCCTACCCATGGATCCCGCGATGCTGAAGCCTGAAAGACGGTCGGCGTAGCAGGGTGCCCCTGCTTTTGCTTACCTATATGAGTTGGCATCACTATTACTTGTTTTCGGTAATGGTGAAATTAAATTAGGGTGCGCGCATTCTTTTGCAATGGCTTTGGCATCGTTCCATTGATTGAACAACCGTACCTTCACTACTTTACAATAACATTAATTCTGACCCCGGCTCATATGGGAAGACTGGAAATCAAATGGACAAGCAAAGGGAAACTCACATTGACACCAGAGACTTTAGGGGTGTATACAAGGTTTAGGGCAAGTTGTCAGTATCGAATGAAAAAACGAGAACAAAACATCTGGAAAACACTACACCATTGGGGAGTGCCTATGATACCCTAAGCCCTAAATTCTAAATAGTACTTTCCATTTTATATTCCATTATCCCAATATAAACCCCAGTAAATACACCCCTAAGATTCCCCTAAAGCCATTGATGTATGGGGCTACTGTGGGGATCTTTCTTCATTCCCTACTAACAACCGGTAAGCCAATGTCGTCCCATGGCCTAGACCATGAAACCAGAATCCTCAACCCTAACCGTAACTCCCTGGATTCAGCAGGCCTCAAACATCCTGAGCCCTAAGACCCTACAAATGAGGCATCGCTCTTGGATTCTTAGCTGTGTACACTCTTTGTAATGTCGAAGGTTTAGGAGGGTTTAGGGCTTGGATCAAGATCAGGGCTCCTCCCTGAATTTTCCTCTAGCATGTCGAATATGTCAGGTTGAGGGATATGTCCAGAGGGATGGCACATGCCCAGATAGCTTTGCCGGGGTATGCTGCACGGCGTCGATCCAAACTAGAAGCCGAATATCTCAGAGGGACAGTCAAATTGGGCAGAAAACTCTCAGATACATTGGCTGTTTGACGTCTTGGATTCTTGGAACGAGGGCTGTCGAATAGTGGGCCTTTACACGGGAACCTCCATTCCCTAAGGGTCCAAGGACCCAAATAATAGGGTTTTAGGGCCCAAATACTATAATATTAATGGCATTGGGGCCCTGAAGCCCCATTATTTGGGTCCTTGGACCCTTAGGGATTTGGAAAAAAACCCGATTCTGGAAGGAGGCAATGGGTGCGCACAAGATCTGAAGGGCTTTGGCTTGTGGACTCGCGCTTAGTAGTGCCTTGAAATGCTGCTTTTCTTGGAGTCACAAAGAGCTTCCGTAGCAGGACGAAAGCATGAAGCCCTGTCATGTTCCATGTTACCCATATTCAAACTCAACAGAAAGTGTAGCAATCGACTTCATCCTGTTCCTAGCAATCAAAATCTTGCCTGAGCTTGCGTGCCTCAAATGCAAAGATAGGTTTTCCGTATCCTAGGTAGCAGATGACCTCTGTGCATGCAAGAAACCAACAACTGCAAAGACGAAGGCTTCTTGAGGCATTTTCACTTCAAATAACACGAGGCAGCCGAGATGTTCATTGATTTGTGCAGGCACTTTGGCCCTTGCAAGATATCAGAAATGGCTGCTCGGAGTGGAAGGCACTAGCTACTGCGACGCACACTGCCGAGCTTGTTGGCTCTAGGTCTTGTAGCAGGAAATGAAAGCTTCGATCCCAACCGCAATCCCCATGTAATGCCCTCAACCATCCCTGTAATGCTATATAGTAACAGTAAACCCAAGAACCCATTCTTTATTCCGGGCTCCCAAGAGGCAAGGTTTCAACCTGGCTGCCCAAAACCACTTGAAGATCAAGGGATACGTAGGGCAGGGCTCGGCGATCTTGATCCACGCCGGCCTTCCCGATCTCGTGATCTCCCTGGAGCTCTGAAGGAAGATACTGTAGAGCTCGCCAGTCTCGTCTCACGGCTTCTAAGGCAATAGCACGATCCCCTAGCACGCAGGAAGCGGCATAGCGTAATGACATCCCATTTTGGCGCACCGCTACAAGAATGAGTGTCCTGTCTTTCCGAAGTGACAGTGGCAAAAAACGGATCGCCTTCCAGTTCTGTTGAACGGCGCGAAGTGCCATTGCGGGATCGCTTGAAAATTGTTCCGCAACATGCTCGATGACAAGTCCATTGATACCGAGCGCTTCAGCCACAAATCCTGGCTCTGTCTGGAGGTCTACTGATGCACTCAGGAAAGCCGCGCTCTGATGACGGATGGCTCTGATCACCACTTCGCGATCAGCTCTCAAATCGGCAGATGCATTCTTCAGAGCGCCGCCGTTCCTCCGCGCGGCCTCGAGCATGAAGCTTCGGCTGTGGTGCAAGCTTTCGGCAGGGGAGTGTAGCAAAGCATCTGGATTCTTCTGAATGACATCCAGCAAGAATTCCTCATCCTGCAGAAGGCTTTCAGCTGCATACTGAAGCGCAAGGCCGAGCCCTGTCTCTGAGATGGCGCTCAGGACAAGAGCCTTATCAGCCTGGAGGTCTCTGGCAGCATATTGCAAAGCCCCTTCATTTTCAGAGACTGCAAGTAGGACACACTCGCGGTCTGCACGCAGCCACTGAGGTGCGTGTCGGAGTGCAAGACCGTTTTGTTTCACAGCTGCAGCGACGAGAGCAGGATCTTCTCGGAAGGCTTCGCACATGCATGCCAGGGAGTCACCATTCTGCTCCACAGCAGCCAAAGCAAATGTAGGGTCTTTGCGGAGGTCTGCTGAGAGAACGGCATACACTGCGCTGTTCCGCCGCAGGACCGAGAGCAAAAAGCGACGGTCTTCCTGGAGCTCGGGCGCGGCATACGCCAACGCTTCAGCATCGTTGCGAACCGCAGCCAGCACCACCTCATGATCACGCCTGAGGTCCTCTGATGCATACTGGAGAGCACAACCAGCCTCGTGCACAGCGTTCATCACCGCCGAACGGTCGGCTTGAAGAAAGGGAGCGTGCTTGAGACAGTGCCCATTTTGGGAAATAGCATTGAGGGCAAAGGCTCGATCTTCCCTCACGCACAGCGGGGCAAATCTGAAGGCCTCTGAATTACTCTCAACGATGACTTGCCAGTCGTTGGCGCTCAAAGTTTGTCGAACCAGCGTAATGTCCGGCGCGCACTGCACCTTGAATGTCTGGTCTGTCAGCTCCGAGGTCCCTGCAATCCTCAATTTCACTCAAAACGAAGTTGAAGATGCTCTGCTATGCTGGTTCAAACTACTAAAAGGCTGTATATTTCCGAGTATGGTTTACAAATACAAGAATCAAACAGCAACAGTTGTACAAGCAACGCACAACTCTTCTGCGTCATTGTTTTCAACTAAATTATGTTTCAGATTGGAACCGATACTACCCGAGCCCCCGCAGAATGTTGAATAAGAGCCTTTTCGGCCACCTGTGCAAGTTCGGACTATTAGTTTGACTACTTTCGAGGTCCAGGTACAGGACATCACAGCAGCAACAACAGCAATCGAAGCGATACCAGAGTGGTGCTTTGCTTGCCTGAACCAAGCAAGATCACAGTCTTCTTACAACTTAAGATAACCACAACGACATTATGATCTTTAAGAACTATAGCAATCGCGTTTAAAACGCTACTTCCTATACCCGGTCCACTAGACCCTGAACAGAAGGCCCTGAACACGGTATGCTCCATTGACACCCCTAATAGGGCCCTAGCAGGCTCCCATGCAGGGGTTATTTAGGGATAATGGAAAAGACAATGGAAACTACTGTTTAGGGTTTAAGGTTTAGAAGTGCAACTCGCTTCGGTACATGGAGAAATTCTTGCACCACCTGATATACCTCATACCTTGGGAGTTACAATGCTATGGAGATCCTTAGTGGTGCAGATTGAGTCCATCCACGCGAAAACCTTCACCCCTACTCCCTAAACTCTAAACCCGATACCCCTAATATTACCCCCTACACCTGTACATCCCCAGACCCAAGCCCTTAAAGCCTTAAACCCTTAAATCCGTACACCCTAAACCCTAAACGCACGGAACTGAACCCTAAACCCCAATACAGCACTTTCGATTTTGTTTTCAACTATCCCCATATTAACCCCAACATATTCCCCTATGTAATTCCAGTTTCCATTTCATTTTCCATTTTCTTTTCCATTTGATTCTCCATTATTGGGGTCCCCAGTATAACCCTTAAGCCCTAACCCTGAGCCTTAAACCCTAAGCCCTAAGCCCTAAACCCTAAACCCTCAGCCCTAAACCCTAAACCCTCAGCCCTAAACCCTAAGCCCTAAACCCTATATCAACTTAGCGTCAACTTCTGCTCCCAGCGCGTGATGCCCGTGGCCCGTTCAATGGCCAGCTTGAGGTCCCCAAGGCTCCCATCTACCTATCCAAACCCCAAAACTGGGTTGCTGTTAAGGAACTTAAATTAAGTTACCATCATGGGTATATATAGTAAATAATAGAGTTTCCCCAATATAGTAACTTAATTTAAGTTCCTTAACAGCAACCCAGAAAATTAAGGGTTTAGGGCTTAGGGTGTAGGGGTTTAGGGTTTAGGGCTCAAGGTGTAGGGGTTTAGGGTTTAGGGCTGACGGTTTTGGTTTCGGGTTTTTGGCCATATAGGGTTTAAGGTTTAGGGTTTTCGGCCTGAGGGCCCTAGGCTTTAGGTAGGGCTCAGATTTAAGGGCTTAGGGTTTCGGGCTTAGGGCCTAGGGTTTGGGGCTTAGGGCTGAGGGTTTTGGGTTTAGTTCCTTTTTGGGTTTGTTATGGTTTGTTATGGTCTCTACAAACCACCCTAAAGGGAACTACATAGGAGGTTCTGGGTAAGGGTCTCCTTAACAGGAGTCGATAGGGATATGGATGGACCTATAGGGATATACACAGAACTGTTTGTTTTTTTCTGTCTAAAGGGCGTCCCCTCCTCCAAACACACATGGAAGCTGACCCTGAACCCTAAACCCTATAGTAGCTTCCATTTTACTTTCCATTCTCCCAATATTACCCCAATATAAGCTACAACCGTCTTTGGATGGCAACTCGTGGCCTTCCTCATGAGCTATAGTCTACACTCCTAGTATCCCCCTCAATAAGCCCTATAATGCTCCCCTATATACTCACCTATATGGCCCCCTCTAAGGAGTCTGGACAGAAGCTCACATGGGCCTTGGGCAGCGTAGGGTTAAGGGTTTGAGGTTCGGGGTTAAAAGCCCTCCTGTCCAAACGCAAACTTTATGGGTCAGAATGTAGAAATTGGGCTAGCTTGGAGTTAGGGGTCCATTTCTGGAAGGCTTCTACAAAAGAATAGTACGTACTTTTTGGCGGTAAAAAAAGGAGGTCTCCATTTCAAAAAAATGCCTTCGGTGGCTGTACATGTCACATACTGCACATACTTTGCGAATACAGAGTTGGATATTCGAATGGCAGCTTCTCAAAACAAGCCCCAAGCCATCTAACCCAAAAAATCCTCAAAAGCCTTACACCTAAACCCAAGACCCTACAATTTGTGAACCCCCTTATACCCCAAGAAGAGCCTATGCTCCGCGTATTGTCCCCAGAGTGTCCCTGGAGGCAACTTTAAAGCAAGGTCCTGCGTACGCCCTGAAAAGCCCTCAGCCCTATAGTATACATGCTTGTACTTTCCTTAAAAAGGACCCAAACCCGAAACCCTGAAACAACAACAAATCTAAACCCTAAACCCTAAAACTGTTGAAGTCTACGTTGGCATCTGCCTTCACGAGCAAGGTGCAGAGCTTACCTGCCAAGCTTCAATGGTAATTAGTTTGATAGATACGCAGAAATGACAAAGCTAAAACCACATGTGTATATATATATATGAATATATATGCAGGGTTTATTTAGAGTGTATGTCGGGGTCATATAGGGATACTGGACAAGAAAGTGGGAACCACTATAGCAAGCCGGATAATATGAGTACTGTTTCTATATACTAATAATAAAGATTGAATATGGCTTTGTAAGATGTTCTTAGTATTCGCAGCTGGGCCTTTGCAGCAGTGGGATGGAGGAGATGACTAATGAGCACTCATGCTGACAAGTATTAGGCGCATTAATCGGATGATGTCAATCGCGAACACAAGACTTCAGAACGCGCTTGCTAACAACATGTCCGACGAGGCGCTTGAGAAAAAACAAGTATGGCACGACTTCCCAAATACCACTTAGGGTTTAGGGTTTGGGGCAGTACCCGGACTGAAGACCTTTAACCCCAACCTGATAGATATATGGTAGTTTCCCAAAATTAGGGGACCCCAATACAGACCCCAAAATACTATAATCCTTATTATGGGGACCCCCAAAAAGGTACTCCTAATTTTGGGAACTACCCATAACCCTTACATGCCTTATAGGGTTATAAGCCATATACAGGCATTTATTAAATGGCTTAAATG